TCCTCTCCAACTTCCCCGTGACTAGTATTGGAACTAGCCACAGGCACTTTTGAATTTTAATTGTCAGTGCTGGGGCTGGAACTCAGGTCCTCATGCATGCTAGGCCAGTGCTCTACCACTGAGCTACATCCCCAGCTCAGCCACAGGCACTTCTAAGAGAAAATGAAAGGTGAGTTGGAGAACACGCAGACTTGTGGCATGTATGTGTGCAGAAACAGTTGCTTCCACGTGGAGCTAAGTCCCTGACAACCATCCAGGGCAGCAAAGCCCACCATCCACTTTATTGACCGCCTGGCTTTGAGACATGAAGGTCACATGTGATGGGCACATGCCATGTTGGGCCTAGCCCTAGAAACATATGGGTATTTTTTTTTTTTTTTTGAGTGAGTTGCTTCAGGCTAAAACTACCCGAGTGTTGCTTTTTGTTGAACATTCAGGAAGCTGCCCAGGGATGCCTCTGCTGCAGCCCATGGAGCATGTCCCCAGCAGGTGATTCCTCCCATTTTGGGGACTTCTGTCTCTTCTCCCCACCACCTATGTCCAATTACAGCTCCCTCCCCTTCTGCCACTGTTATGGCATTTGAGCTGGAATCTCCTAGAATCTTTCCCATGCAAGGTCTGAACTCCACTGTCCACCTGAGATTCTTCTGGAGCATCATCCCAGGCTGACCATGGCCTCCTGATGTCCTTCTCAGGTCCAAACCTGACACCCCATACCCCTGTGTGCTCAACTCCGCGAACAGAGGAGTGATGAATAAGGCCAAGATCCCAATGTGCTGAGCCAATATGGTGGGTAATGGGCCTGACCTTTCTCTACTATTGATTGCCTGTTTTCACATGGAATGTTGGAACTACAGAAAGGTGATCAGATTTAACGGCAAAATCAACAGTGTTGGGCTTTTCTATCAGTGGAGACAAGTCCAAGTTACTCATCACTTAGCCAGTTTGGAATTCTGGGGCACCTTCAAGGGCAACTCTGGTGAGCATTCAATGACCTAGCACTTGGTTCACCAGGTTAATAGCCCTTGGCCTCAGTCTAAGGCAGAAACCCCCATATCAGAACTCAGATATGCCTCTGACCCTCAACTCCATGAACCAGGGTCCCATGTGGCTCCAGGTCCTTGAAATTCGGGCCCTGACAAATGATGGCCACGTGAGCCTGTCAATGCCTGGCTACTGGACCCTGACCTAAAAAAAAAAATTATGCTGGCTTCTCAGGAACAAGGCCTGAGCACCAACATTCAAGGCTCTGACTTATTCTAATGGCTCACCAGGCCTGAGGACCAGTGGTGTTCTACAAAGAATCCTGGGTGGATTGGCCTCTTTTTTCCCCTATTTGCTATTATTTTTTCAGCTGTGACTTTTCTTTTGCAAAACAAGGAGTTAATAAAAACAGTTATCCCAGAAAGATGGTTGTTTCTAGATTTAAAATATAAAATACACCTGAATGGGCTCCTTGATCTGTAAAATATTGTGCAAGTGCGAATGCTATTACGGCATGCTTAAAAACATCACGGAATGCTGTAGCTGCTCTGAGTTGGCCACCTGCATGCCACCGTGCAGAGGGCTGCCTGGCATCCCCGCGAGCATGCCCAGCAGCTTGTGAAGCCAGAGGAGCCCCCCGCTTCTGAGATGTCCTTCTAGAACCTCTGGCTTCGTTCTGAAATTAAAAATTAGTTCCCTATGCAGTGGGCTCACCGACTCCCATGGAATTCACTTTCTTTCTGGCACAGCCAACCTGATAAGGTCTCTGATTTAGCAAAGTGATTTGATAAGTGACGGTTTGGCCATTTCCTTACCTGTTGCCCACCTCCTGAGGCAGAGGCTTTTCCTCTGTCCTATGTCAGGGGCAGAAGAATTTCAACAGCTGTTCAAGGCCGTGAGGTCTTTGTCATGCTGTGTTCCCACCAGCTTCATCAACCTCGTGGTTTATGGAAATTTATGTCACCTGATACGAGTTGGGCAGAAGAAACAGCACCAGACATCAGCTCTTTATTTATTTATTTTTTATGAATGAGGAAGAGTTGTTGACGAACAGCCTACATTTTTCACTCCTTGTTCCCCCGCTTGATGACAGGTGTGGAAAACTGAGTCATTGAAAGTCCTCCAAGATGGAGAAGCTGCAAAGGCTTGTGACTCATGCCTTTGGTGCAATCATGCTTAGCTAAAAAAAAAAAAAAAAATAGCTGCTGGAAATGACACCAGCCAAACATCGTGTGGGCTTCTTCACTTGCTTGTCTAATGACCCATACAGGACAGTGACCGGTGGGGACAGGCCTGTGGTCAGTGCAGGAAGGGTTGGATGGTTAGCTCGGGATGTGCTGGGCACATCTTGGATTTGGTAGTGGCAGCTTTGGAAAACTGTTCTCTCTTTCCACAGCTTAATTTTTCAAAATCGCAAAATAATAAGTGTCCTTTAAAGATCAGGTACCCTGGGGCCCCTTTCTGTGTCCAAATGGTACTGTTTCTTTATCTTTGAATGAATCATTGATTATGAGTCCTAAGGGTAGGGAGGGAGGAGAGAGATAGAAAGAGAGGGAGACAGATTGAGTAAGAGAGAGAGAGGGAGAGAGGGAGGATATATGATGTGCTATAATTGGGATCAGAAGTGTCCCCCAAGGCCCATGGGTTGGAGGCTTGGTCCCTGGCCTGTGGTGCCATTGGGAGGTGGTGGTACCTTCAGGAGATGGGACCTAGTGGGAGGAAGTTAGGTAATTGGGGGCGTGTCCTTGAAGGGGACACTGGGACCTCAGCCCCTGCCTCTCTCTCTTTGCATCCAGGTGTCTTGAGGTGAGGAATTTCCTCTGTCACACTCTCCCAGCATGATGCCCTCCCTTACCCCAGCCCCAAAGGCCACAAGCCCAAGCAAACATGGACTGAGACTTCTGAAGCTGTGAGCCAAATAAGCCTTTGCTCCTTCTAAGTGGGTTTTCTGAGGTATTTAGTCAAGCAACAGAAAGCTGACACCTTGTGTCACCACCACCTGAGAACCGACAGGTAAGGACTGGATTTTCACTCACTGTGTTCTTACAGTTCTACCTCCCTAGTGCACCAGATGCCCCCTGTCCATCATGCTGATGGGCATGCAGCACAAGAGTGGCTCAGTGGACAAAGGCTGGAAAATGGTGAGCTAGAAAACAGTTCATGGAATGGCCCTTGTCACAGTACCCACTCCTCAGAGCTTCCTGTAGGCCCGGGGGAGCTGCAGTGCTTCACTGGGAACTTTCTCTGTGGCCTGTTCAAAGTCATTGGCTCAAGGAAACACTTGCAGGGCCTACCTCTGCCCCCCAGATCCACAGTCCCTGGCAGGCACTTTGTGATATGCTTTGTGGGTCTACCCTGCAGGCTGCAGAGCCAGGGCATAGAGAAGGAATGAGCAGGGAGGCCCTGGAGACAGAACCCGGACTCGCAAACGAGGATTCAGTAAGATGTGCTTTCCCTGGAGCAGGGACGGATTTCCAGCCAGAGGCCAAAGCCGATGCCCAGGCAAAGGAAGAACAAGGCTGTGTTCATCCAGAAGGAAAAAAGGAGAATCCAAAACCCCAAACTTGCTTTGGTGCTTTCAAATCGCTTCCTTCCTTCCCCAAATGAGAACACACTTACCAACCTGTTCTGAAGCCCCCTCCCAGTCTCCAGAAGGTGGCATGAGTCCGGAGCCTCCGGGCTTGAGCTTCAGGGAGCCCTGAAGCCATCCTTCGCTGCTCCCCTGGGGTCGAGGCTCAAAGCCCTAGGCCAGTGTCCACACAGTTCCTGCCAGCAGGTAGCCAATGGCGTGGGCACACACCACGGCAGCCACTGGCGTCGGAGGTCACTGGGCCTGCGTCTGCGTGTGCCTCAACTGTGGCGCTCAGAGGCTCAGTTTACATGACCTGCCCAGGCCGGCGATGGAGGTGCTCCGTCCACACGTTCTGCATTCAAGAGCAGCCCCGGGGCCATTGCCACTCTGTGTCTTTCCCATCTCCTGTTTCCAAGAGGGCCTGGGCCACCAACGCCATCATTCCCTCCTAACCTCTCCCTGGACTGGACAGGAGCAGAGGACCCCAGTGGGCCACGGAAGGAAGCTTGTGGCATGGGGTCCCACCAATACTTGACCCAGAAAAGCAGGGGAGTATATCAACACAGATGCGGGTCTGTGTCCCTGGGCAGGATGGGTGCCCCGCTGATTTTTAGGTGGTTATTTGAAGCAAGGTTCAGTGTGTGTGATGTGGATGTGTGCATGTTCCTGTGACATGCATGGATTGCATGGCTCACATACGTCTGTGCTGTGTATATGTGCACACGTATGCATCATGCATTTGGAGTGTGATGCCTATGTTTATATGACACATGTGCCATATGTGCCATGCATCTGCCTCCACATCTGCATATATGTGAGAGTCTGAGTATGTGCATGTGAATGTATGTGCACACATTTGCTTGTGCATGCTGCCTACATTCATATGTGTTTATGCAACACATGTGCATACTGTGTACATGTGTGCACATACATGGGCACACACATATACATGTGCATGGGTATGTAGGCTTTGTAAATGCAAGTGAATGCATGTATGTAAATGCAGTCTATTAGTATATGTATGCATGTATGTATTTTGCATGTGTGTGTGTGTGTGTGTGTGTGTGTATGAGATGTCCTTTATAATAGGAGATCAGGACTCTTCTTCCCAATACTCTTAGGCTGTCTTCATAGAGAAAGATGAAGCTATGCTCTACACTCCTGCTTTGGCCCCATTGGTGATTTCCTTGGTTTGGTGTGGGCTGTCGAGTCCCCACTGGGCAGATCCACAGTTCATGAAAAAAGGACACACAGACTCTGGTGGGACAGGGTCCTCCTTGGCAGGCCTCCTCCTGTGTGGCAGGAGCTCCCAGAGGCCCCCGTCCCCTGCTTACATGGCAGGGGACCCAACGTTTTACAAAACATGTTGCACATGTGACAATGCTAGCTGACGCTCTCTGGCAGGGTAGCCAGTCACATCCCAATAACTTCCATGAAAGTCATCACAGAGCAAATTTAAAATTTTTATTTAAAAAAAAATCACAGTTACAAATATCCGGTGACAAAATGCAGCTCTTCTGAAAAAAAAAAAAAAGAATGCAAAATGCTGGTGGAGTGAACTCTTTGGGAGTTTGGGGGAACCGAATATCCAGCAGTCACCTCTGCAAATGAAAATCCAAGTGGATTTGCAGTCACTGGGGCTGAAGACCATGTGAAGTCACCGTCCAGCAACTGGGTGATGGAGAGTGAGCAGAGAACACGCTCAACTGAAACCACCGGCAATGACCTAAGCACTGGGCGGAGGTTTGTTTCTGCCTTAGAGACATTCGGTTGTGCTGCGGGGTGAGGTATCTGCGGCATCCACAGTCAATGGGATGCAGCCAGGGGACCTGGGGAGTCAGTACCTACTAAGAAGGACCAGAAGGTGACCGGCACATGGAGTGAGCCCGGCTCCCTGGGAAATAGAGGGTTAGAACATTCAGAGGGGTAGCCCGTGAGTGGAAACGCAGCTCAGGATAGAAGTTCTAGAAGGACTTGGAGACCTTTCCCCCACCTTCCAAATTTAACCCTTTTCACAGTCTAAATTCTTCAATGAGGTTGCCTTTCTCTAACTGTGACCCCAGGGGAGAGGAAAATTATTCCTGATGGTAGGACACAAATTTGACTTCACTGGCTGGCCCCAGTGGACCTTGTGCACACAGGAACATGCTCTCCCAGGGGAGAGGTACTGGATAGTCCCAGGACAGAGGAACACATGACCTTCTGCAGGGAGCTAGGCTCCTGCATCCCAGTTCCCCAGGCACATTCTAGACAAGTGTCAGCCCTGGACTCCTGGGAGGGGTGTAGCCAAAGATGCCAGAAATTCACACCAGAAAAAAAGACAAGAAGTACAGCACCTGTTTGCTACACATGGGCATCCATGTTCCTAGGAGCAGGTGGCCTTTACTAAAGACACACTTAGGGTGAAGTGACTCAAGAGTTCAATGGCAGAGCGCCCATCTCTGAAGTACTCATCACTTTACCAAATCCGGCAAATCCAACCCTCCCTGTCATGATCCAAATCTATCAATGGCTTGATCAACAGAGACTTTTCTCACTCATCTTTGTAATTTCAGAGACTGTAAATGTGCTCTGAGGATCTGCTCAGTGAGTTCAGCACATGGGGATCCTCTCGTCAATGAAATGAATGAATGGTCAGGTAGCACAATTCCAAAAAGTGCAGCTGGTTCCTAAAAATTTCCTAACACAACAGCTCGTGTCTTTTTTTTGGCTACGCAAAAAAAATGGCTACTTTCCTTCATACCTCAAGTTAGGAACAGGGTTTCTTCTGCCCTCCATGGCTATGTGTAGGCTTTAAAATGCCTTCGATGTGAAGATGTGTCCAAGATTATGCATATCTACAGACATTGAAATACAGGATAAATAGCTTTTTAACTTTCAAGGGCCACAAGACTGGTATTAGTGGGTGATGATTTATATAAGATCAAACATTATGTCCAGGATTCAAAGACTAACAGAATTCTCAGGTCTTACATCTTTAACCTAAAGTCACACTTAGTCACAAATAAGGCCTATCTATGGTGAGGATCAAAGTCTTTGGTTTTATGATGACGGACACTCTCTTTAGAAACTCCTCTTTCGATGGCTTTGGCCACCATGTTGCCCTCTGCTCTGGTGTGACTATGTCCCCAGAAGTTCATGTACTGGAAATTTAATCCCCAAATTCACATGTTAATGGTATTTGGAGGTGGGACCTTGAGAGGTGATTAGGATTAGAATGGGCCAAGAGGATGGGGATTTATATGGGATTAGTGGCTTCATAAGAGTGACTCCAACTGGCATGGCTCTCTCTTCACGTGATGCCTTTGCTGTGTTATGGTGCAGCAAGAAGCCTCCTGCCAGGTGCTAGCACCTTGATCATTGGGCTTCCCAGCCTCTAGAAGTGTGAGAGATAAATTTTTCTTTATAAATTTCTCAGTCTCAGGTGTTCAGTTATAGCAACAGAAAATGGGTTTAAAAAAAAAAAAAAGATGGAATTCTGGCTGCAGCCCCTCTGTAGAGGGTAAACTTCATCTTGAAGCTTGGCCCATGCTCAGTAGATAGCAGCCTGATCACTCAGCTGCCCCTGATGGGACACGGGATGAGGGCAGCCTGACTCCACTATGCAATTTCCACGCGGAACTTCATTCACTAGTCTCCATAAAAGCACAGAACAATTTTTAAGACCACCTGCAGGGGAGAGGACTTCAGGGGATGTAACCTCAGCTGATGTACCCCAACAGGCCTCATTTCTCATCTAGATGATGCTTCTGTCCCATAACAGAGCAAAAGCCATGCCCAGGCTTATTATTGTTAGTGATGGTGTGTTATTTCATTAATTGTCTACATGCTTAGAAACTGTTCTGGCTGAACTTTTTTTTTTAGGCTTCACAGCAAGCACTTTCTCATCTGGACAGCTTTTCTCTGGCCAAGGATCCGTCGTGGGCTGTCAGAGTCATGTTTTAGGGGAGGTCGGCTCCCTCTGCCATTCCCTCCCCTTCCTTCATTTCCGAAGTCAGTGCTAACTGGCTTGGAGCCATGGGGCCCTGCCCTCAGGTCTCCAGGGCTTTCTGCAACCCAGGACCCCAAGAACTGGAATGACACAAAAGAGATTCAGAAACATCCTAGAATCAGTCTGCACAAAAACCACACAGACAAAGGACACAAACCAGTCTGTCAGCCCCTCAAGTCAACACGTCCTCTGTCTTCTTGTGGGACCCCGTTTGCTTTGGGGTTGGTGAGTCCTAGGACAGGTTTTGCTTAAGAAGTCACCAGCATGTTCCACCCGGGGGCGGCTCTCTCCACCAGCAGCTGGAGATGGAAAGACTGGAAACCGATTCCTATGAATACATGTTCCTGAGATTGCTCCTTGACTGAAGGCAGCTGTGGGCAGGCACCGGGGCTGTTAGTTAACCACGTCATAGTAGTAATTGCGCAGCCGCAGCTCCACTGCTACAAACCCGGGCCTTTTCTCCACCCTGGAAGAGGAAGAGACAGGGTGTGGGTCAATGTGCCTGTGAAAAGCATTTTCCAAGCTGGGGCCTTCAAGCAGCTGCGCCCCCTGGTGGTACCCTACGGTCTTTGCGCCCATCACTGGGTGATCACAAGCCCGTGAGAAATAGATCCCATCTGATCCCACTCCAAACCTGTGGAACCCAAATCTACATTTTTACCAGATCTCCAGGGGATTCATGTCCACCTTGAAGTTAGAGAAAAATTTTTACTAGAACTGAGAATCTTTTATACCCTAAGTTCTTGGAATCTCCTGGTGATGCCAGCAACGAGTCTGAAGATGCCTCACAGGTGAATGTGGTGCAGACAGGTAGTGTCTGACTCGATTTTCTTAAGACCAAAAACATGGACATAGCTGCAACTCTCCTCCCCACACTCCTGCTGATGGATCTGAGTCTTCTGATAAGGGGCTGTTATATGGGTTCTTACTGAAACTTCCCCCAATTATTTGGTGCCCGGGATTGAACCCGGGGGTGCTTAACCACTGAATCACATCCCCAGCCTCCCTCCTACCCTTTCAAAGGCAGATCTCGCTAAGTTGTTTAGTTAGATCCTTGTTAAGTTGCTGAGGCTGGCTTTGAACTTGCCCTCTCCTGCCTCAGCCTCCTACCTGCTGGGATGGCAAGAGTCATCACCAGGACCAGCAAAATTTCCCTCTTTTCATGGCTGAGACAAAGACCCAAGCATTCTCTATTGCAAATCTCAACAGGGCAAGGCCTTTCTTTGAGCCAGTGAGGTGCTGAAGTAAGCAAACTACGGGTTAAGGAGAGAAGGGAAATTGCATGGAAATGGAAGGAGACCCTCAGGGTTATACAGTGGAGGGGGTAGAGAGAGAGGAGGGGAGGGGAGGGGAGAGGTGGGGAGGGGGGAGGGGGGAGGATGGGAAAGGCAGCGGAGCACAACAGACACTAGTATGGCAATTTGTAAATCAATGGATGTGTAACTGATGTGATTCTGCAATCTGTGTATGGGGTGAAGGTGGGAGTTCATAACCCACTTGAATCAAAGTGTGGAATATGATATGTCAAGAAATTTGTAATGTTTTGAACAACCAACAATAAAAAATTAAAAAAAAAAAGACATTTATAGCTACCTCTGCTTTCCGTAACAGGAGCAGAGGTCATGGAACCCTTAGGAGGACAGTCCTACCACATGGAATTGGTTCCAGGACCCCCAAGGACACCAAAGTCCAAGGATGTTTGAATCCCTTCTACAAAATAGTATAGTATTTGCATATAACCTAGGCATGTCCTCCTGTATGTTTTAAATTGCCTCTAAATTACTTACAATATCTAATATGAGGTAAATTGTATTTACTATGGGAATAGTCGGACTTTATTGTTTAAGGAATGACAATAAGATAAAGAAGTCTGTACATGTTCAGTGCAGACGTGATATTTTCCATATATAGAAATCTGATCTGCCGTTGGCTGTACCTGTGAATAGGGAACCCCTGACATTGAGGGATGACCGTGTTTCTTACAACCTTGAGACTATCCTTGCTTAGAAGTTATTTTTCTCATTTTGCAACACTTTTCACTATAATGCAAGTGGTTAAAGTTGCCCGGTAGGTGAACTAGAACTTGAAGTTAAGCAGTATGCAACTGTCCTCATTTAACCATTTTGACCCGAGACAGCTGCAGTTCCACCTCGTTCAGTCTAGACACCCAGGAACAACCATAGAACATGACCAAGATCCAAGAGTCTCTATTATAAGAGCGGTTTCTGCAAAACCAAGATGGGCAGTTTCGTCAAATGGCATCAAAATAAATGGTACTGCCAATATCTTTGGAATAGCAAACATTTCAACAGCAGTTCCTGAGAAGCTAATAGCCCTTCAAACCATGGCCTCTGGGCCCACAGATTGCTCTTAGAGAGCATGCCCTGTGGCTCCTGGGTGCCATTCAAGCTTTTTGAATGCACCTGCATTCTGCTCAGGGGCTGTGTGGGAGTTAATCAGGGAAGGAAAATGCATTGCACCCAGAATTAGGGATAGACTTTTGACTCTGCCTGTGCTAGGTAGCCTGCGAATGTTATGTGATGACCCTGAGCCATGCTCTCTGGACCCCTGGCACTGAACCCATCTGTGATCAGGAGAATCTCCTAATACATTGTGGAACCAGGGGTGCTCTCAGATGGGGCAGCCAACATTGCAGAAGCCAGGATCCCTCACCCCACCTGGTGGTCCATAAGATCACACCTCCTAGTGACACTGTAGACATCTGTATGTGTAAACACATTCTATGTCATTAGCCCAAAGACAAAAATCACCCAGCAATGCATTCCTAGAACATGTCCATGTCGCTAAGGGACATCTGACTGTATCTTACAGAGGACAGTTCCTGGCCCTCCCCTATGGTTTGTTTAGGAAAGGGCATATCTTGATGCATGACAAGGTAGAATTTGTGCTTCCTGTTCATGCCAAGTGATGCCATCATCCTCCATAGCTCTTGGATAAGTTGCTAGCAGTATTGGGTACTCACTCGTACGTCCAGCACAGGTTCATCAGATCGTACATCTCTCTGGGACACCCTTGAGGGCACCCCATCCGCTCTCCTTTCTCCAACATGGCGGTAACTTCACTTCCTTTCATCCCCTAAGACATGCAAAATACACAGGAGCTTTTGAAACATGTTAACCAACAAACCCAAATAACCACCTCACTGCCCAAGACACAAAGAGTATGGGCTGTGTGGTGTCAGTTATATAAGTGATAAGCCAGGAGCATATCATTTACGATGTTAGAAGTTAGATTTGGTACACAGATTGGGGGAAGAGCTATATGTGGGGGGCAGGGAATGGGGTGTGAGACAATGCAAGAACTGTCAGAGGTGCAGTGATTAGGTTATGAGAGTCCTAACCTACTCAATGGATTAATTCACCAATAGGGATTGCTTAGGTGTAACTGTAGGCAGGAAGGGTGTACCTAGGAGATAGGTCACTGGGGGTGTGCCTTTGAGGTTTATATTTTGTCCCTGGCGAGCAGAACTCTCTCTCTTTCTCTTTGCTCCCTGACTGCCATGTTCTGAGCTGCTTCCTTTCATCATTCCCTTCCGCCATGATGTTCTGCATCACCTTGGGCTCAGAGCTATGGAGTCAGCCATCTGTGGACTGAAACCTCAGAAATGGTGAGCCCCAGATAAAATTTCCCTCCTCTATGTTGTTCTTGTCAGGTATTTTAATCACAGCGACAAAAACAAAACAACAACCACAAAAAAGACTGATTAGAACATGAGGATATTCTGGATTTCTGCTCTATTTCCTCATCTGGGGGCTGATTTCGTGGTGTGCTTCATTTGTGAAAACTCATTCAGCTGAATTTTAGGATCTGTATACTTTTTGGTATTACACTTTGATTAAAAAAATCTAAGAAGTGTAGAACTGTACATTTGTTACTGTCAATAGTCATTGTTTATATTTTAGCTCTAGTGAAACATGGTCTGGATATTTTCTGCATATCTATATGTGTGACACATATAGATATGCAGAAAATACACCGTTCCTTTCAGGTCCGTGTAAACTGAGGTCATGTTAACAACCCAGTGTCAACAGGTAAGAAGAGACGCAGGGTGCCCAGATTTCATGATTGTCAGGTTCTTGGGCAGATAATCTGGTGCTTATCTGTTGTATAAGCCACACAGTTTAGGAAGCAAGTGTGTCGACATGGATGACTCACTCGATAGGGCTTCTGCCCATAGGAGAAGGCTTCCCACATCAGCACACCGAAGCTCCACACGTCGCTTTTGCTGGAGAACTTGTAGTAGTTGATGCATTCGGGGGCATACCACTTCACGGGCCACTTCCCGTGGGTCTGGGCCTGAACGCAAAGCAGATGGAGAGAAAAGCCACGTGAACCACGGTTTTATCCCCGTTAGCGGAAACCTGGACACCAGCCAAGTGACCATCAGCAGACAATGGATAAACCAAATGTCATCTGCACTGACATTCATCGATTAACAGGAAGGAGATTCTGATGCCTGCTACAGCATGGGAGAAACCGACGAGCATCACATTAAACAAAATAGGACAGTCGCCACACAGCAAATACGGTATGATCCTGCTTACTCAGAAGGACCTAGAGAAGTCATATTCAGGAGATGTACAGGGAAGAGTAGGAAGTAGTTTAATGGATACAGTTTCAGTTTTAAGATGTAGAGAGTTCTGAAGGTAAGTTGTACAACATGAGCACATGACCAAACAATGCACTTAAAAATGGTTAAGTGGTAAATTTTATGTTACATGCATTTAAAAAAATTTTTTAAATGAAGAAGATTATGACTCACACAATGCTCTGTGCATGTGTGTGTATGTGTGTGTATATTTGGAATGAAAAGACAATTTTTTTCTTTTTTGGTGATATTGGGGATTGAATGTAGGCCTTCATGAATGCCAGGTAAGCACTCTACCATTCAGCCATGTCCTTAGCTCTGAAATGAATTTTTAAAATCCTATGAAATCTTAAAACTTTAAGTGCTAATTTTAGATTTAAATATACATTTTTTTTAAAGAATTGGTTGGGTCAAACTGTCAAACTGCTCACTCCTTTTTCTCTTTTCTTGTCTTTTTCTCTCACCTCTTGGCTGCACACGGCTTCACAAAGAATGAAGTTGGCAATGGACAAGCCAAGCCTGAGTGTCAGGTCAAGGTTGCATGCCAACACGGGGCTGCTCACAAGCATATTCAACTACAACTGCGTGTTGGTCTGTAGTTTTAAGCCAATGCTAATTATTTTAGCATAGGCTATTTGCTGTGCCATTTAAAAAATGAAAAGTGAATGCTTTAAACTTCCTAATTAAAAAAAAATCCAGTAGTATTAAGAAGATCAAAACTGTGCATAGGGAAGCCCTGGAGGGTTTGGGATTAGTGTGGTACACTGTTGAGTCTTGTTATCTCTTCCTGATGTTCCCTTTCATATGAACAAAATCTCCCTGGGGTGGTGAGAGGGACATGATCTCAGTGAAAATTGATTTCATTTCACTGATGTAGGTCAGCAGTAGCGATCTGGGCATGTCACTATGGAGATGATAGGATACCCTTAGACTTCTCAAAATTACACAACTAACCATACTGCTGTCTTACTCGTGTGATGCATTATTTTTACATTTTCTGATTTTCAATGTTGTGAACCATGTAGTCAGGTGTGATAATTCAAGTTCATTTTGAATTTTGAACCAATAACCAGGTAAACCTTTAACATATCCTAAACATTCTGAAAAGTTAGTCTCTCTCCATTACTAGCTCCAGCTTCTCTAAGGATACAAGCAACTTTGATAGGATTTGGTGTATCTTTCAAGAACGATCTAGATACAAGCATAAGCGGGTAATATGTATTTTTTGGTAATAAAACTAGGGCATGTGTATTCTGTACCTTACTTTTAACTTCCCTACTTAACCATGCATCTTGGACACAGCTCTAGATTGACACGTGCAAAATAATGTTACTTCTGAAAGTTGCAGTGTGTGTGCTTCCTAAGAAGCTCTCAGGACTAACGGAGCCAGATTGCTACTGAGAGGACACAAGATGGTTTCCAGGGATTTACTGTTACAGATCCTGCTAGAGTGCACAACGCTGAGTGTTTATGTTTGCCCTTGTGGGGAGCTGTGGATCCAGGGCACTGTGAATACAGCTGTGACACCGCCCAGAGCAGGCTGCCATGCATGGCTCCCCAGGCACTGGGGAGTTCATGTGCCTCTATTCCTATCATTTCTCTGTGACCTGATTTAACTCTTGATTCTTTTATGTTTTATTTTGCCAGCTTTATGGCCTCCTGAACTAGATTATTAGAATAAATATAAATCTTCTTAAAAATCCTCCCTATCTCTATCTTTTCAGTGGTGTTGGGTCCTTTCTCACTGCGTCTAACATGGTCCTTACCTCTGAGTGTCCTCCTTTTTCTCCCTCTCTGATTCTCAGAGGTCTGCTGGCTTGCTCCTCAACTGTACATTCATATCTAATATCTGTGGCAATTTTAAAATTGGCTAACAGTTCTGGGTTTCTCTTCCTCTCAAGGGACCTATCCAAGCACAAGCAGGTTACTCGATCTTTGCAGAAAGCTTCAAAGATTAAAAGAGAATGAATCAAAACAGAAAAGAAAAGCAACTTACAAGAAACAGACTCTGCAGGGAAAACAAAATAGAAAACCCGTCCACATTCCCAATCATGGGAATCTGTCCATCCTGTCCCTTGAATCTGGATGAGCTATGGCTGCAGTGACCAACAGAAGCAGGGAAAAGTGACCCTGCTTCCTGTAGCCGCCATGCTGCGAGGAAGCCCAAGGGCCACAAGGAGGCACTACACAGAAGTGTGCTGGTCCACAGCCCAGTGGAGGTCCCAGGCCACAGGCTGTGGTCAGTCAGTCTCTAACTGTACGAATGAGCACAATGGAGTTGGATCCCCAGCTCCTTTAGTGAACTGAGTCACTGGGTGGGACAGAAACACCCTGTCCCCACTGAGCCAGGCCAGTTTAGCATCAGTAAATGGGCGCTGGCTGGTCTTTCCCTGCACTGAGTTTGCAGTGGTCTTTCATGCAGCAGCAGTAGATACTGAGGACAGCATTCATATTCTGATGTGTATTTCTCCATGTCTTCCTTTAGTACTTGTTCCAAACTGGCTCTCTTCTATTAGCCATGGCATTCCAACTTGATGCCTGCTTTACAAGGCCCCTCCTTCTGCCTGTGCTCTTCCTTCCAGACTGCACTTTACTTTGCTGTTTCCCCTTGGCCTTCAGATGGGCTCATGCTGACACCTTTCTCAGGTTGCTCAGGTCTTACATGCACCCCAGTGGGCAGCTGCTTTATGAGCAATGGCATAAGGAGGGGGCTGTGTGGGAGCAGGTGCTAGGCACAAATACTCTGCTCTCCCCGGGGCGGGCAAGCTCAACCAGTGCCTGCTTCTATTCCCAAGATAACTGACAGCCGCCATCCCCTTGCCACCTCCTGGAGTCACGTACTGCCTCTCAGAAAAAGGGTGAATGGGTGGGCATTGTCATCTAGGGGGACTTTTCTGATTACTGCAGGTGGTGCAGCTCAGGGAAGATTCCACAGCACCCCCCCTAACCTGTGTGTGGAGCCACCCCTTCCCCTGTGTTCTGCCACTCACTCATTGACCATTCAGGGCACATTCTCTATTTATGAGCACCCTCAACATTTCTAGGAACCTGAAGAGTCAATCCTTCTGTGATACTTGTCCCAATAACTTGGCGACAAATCCTGTTACACTTTCCAGTTGGTCAACACAGACCCTCTGAATATGCTGTGACTGCATTCATGTGAAGACGGGACTTCTGCTTTCTTTTAGTTATCAGTTAATCTGAGGGCATGCAGAAGGGTAACATTCAGGAGTGAAGTCACCTTGGCAAGCAGGAATGGTCATTGTGAAATTGTTTTTTTAGGAAGTCCAAACACACACTTAGGCCTAGTCATCACTTTATGTTTTACTGAGAGTCCATCCTCAATTCTGCATGATTTCTGCCTTAACAAACTAAAGGGTATATTTCTTTTCTACTCTCACATAATTACCTTTATTTTTTATTTCCAGGATTTTATTATTTTTATTTCTTATACTTTAATTCTAATGGATACCAACTAAGCCAGTAGAACAATTTCCACATATTTAGTGGGAAGACATGGGCCCTGATCTTGACATAGATGATGATTCGGGTAGAGACGATGGATTTATATGATATTTCTCATCTGCTTTCTTTGACATGTGTGTAGATATGTGTACGTTAAAGGCTATTTTGAAATAGATCCATACCAGATACTCTGGAACAGTGTTCCATTAGATGTTATTAGATACACCGTGAATCAGGTTTGAGAAAAACAGCAGAGAAAAAAACCCTCTTCTGAGCATCAGTGTCAGTTAAATAAAAGGGCTTAGGGAAACCTAACAAGAATCAACCTGTCCAATCCATAGTTTTCAAAGTTAATTTAGTGAAGGAACTCCATCCTTCTTTTTCAAAACAAATTATTGGTTAATACTCAAGGTAAAACTTGAGTATTGTTCCATGGAACATAATTCAAAAGAGACTAATTTGAGTAAATCTCAAGGTGTGACATATTTGAGTATTTCCATTTAAAAAAAAATAGAATCAACGTTTTTTTAAAAAAATATTTTTTAGTTGAGATGGACACAATACCTTTATTGGTCTATTCATTTTTTATGTGATGCTGAGGATCGAACCCAGAGCCTCACATGTGCTAGACAAGTGCTCTACCAATGAGCTATAACCCCACCCCCTTAGAATCAGAGTTTGATAAGAAAATTTTAGCATGGTTACTAGGGTATTTTCTTCTTAAAATCCTACCGTAATAAAATAAAGAGGAGGTTAATTTACCTCTGGGCTTTTGACAACCTGCTGTTCTGAACATCAGGGACTCGTTCCTACCTTGTAGTAGTTTTCGTCTGCTTGCAGTGCTTTGGAAAGCCCAAAGTCGCTGATCTTGGCATAATGTTGAGTGACCAGCAATACGTTTCTTGCAGCCAGATCTCTGTGCACAAAATTGCACTCCTCCAAATATTTCATTCCCATGGAAACCTGATGAACCAGCTCTATGATGTTCTTATCCTTGACGTGCCTGAAAACCACAAGGCTGCCATTAGGGACAGTGGATAGTGATCCTCACTCCTCCTGCACACCGAAGAGGAGACCCTTCATTCCCTAATCTTACACAGAGGCAGCAGGGGCAACCTTGTTAACATAACAGCACTTCCAGATGGAACTCCATTTTCCGGGTGTTCAACAGGTTTGATTTTCATGGCATGCTTTGAATTGCAAGGAAGGTAGCTTAGAGGTGTGGTCATGTTCTGCCCAGCGAGGGCAGACTTCTTGTCCAAATCATCTGAGGGGCTGATTCTACTGCTGAACCGGAAGTGTGGGTAGAGAATGAATAAAGGAGGACAAAAATAGGTGGATTACAGCTTATGTCTAAGTAACAAGAGCTAAAAAGATCTGGACCCATAGACTGTGCCTCCTCTCTCGAGGTTTCTGAGCATCGACTACCGTGGGAAGGTGCAAAGGGTGAGGTTTCCCATAGAACTCAGGCTGTTCTGGGGTCAGCAGGGGCCCTGTCCCTCAAAGCACAGCATCTTGGCCTCTGGGCACATTGCCATACCTGTTCTGCTGCAGATACTTGTTGAGTGGACCAAGCTCTGCCATCTCCATGACCAGCATCCAGGACTCGGCTTCACAGATGCCGATCATGCGCACGATGTAGGGGTTGTCGAGCTGCTGCATGACGTTTGCTTCTGCTAATAATTCATCCTTCAGGGCGGGGTCATTGGCCTCGTTTTTCAGGATTTTCACAGCCACTGTTTTCACCACTCTGAAAAACAGGGCATAACCTGTAGGGAACTTTCCAGAATGGCTCCTGTCTACAAAACTATCTTCCATGAAGCATGATTCCTATGCAGAAGTGATGTTATGCAAATATGTACCACAGCCAGGCATGGTGGCTCATGCCTGTCATCCCAGTGGCTTGGGAGGTTGAGGCAGGAACACTGCAAGTTCAAAGCCAGCCTCAGCAATTTAGTGAGGCCCTAAGCAACTTAGCAAGACCCTGTCTCAGAATAAAATGTTAAAAAAGGTCTGGGGATGTAGCCCAGTGGTTGAGAGCCCCTGGGTTCAAACTTTGGTACAAAAACAAAACCAAAAAGTCTGTAATAGAGCACATCTTATAAAGCCATGCGATGAATGCCTAGTCTTCTAACCATGCTCTTTTATTTTACAGACTTTACAAATAATGGAGGGGACCATGCTAAAGAATGCCCCAAACCAAGCAAAACCCCTAAATGGTGAAATATTTAAAGAGCATCTACATAAAACCAACCATGACATACATGGATTTCTGTAACATCTTGTGATTTACCAATCGAGATTATGTGATTATAAGATTCCTTTAATAGCAATGGAAAATGAATTTCTCAGTGCAGAATTATGAAGCATACATTGTTAAAGCTCACAGTTGGAAAAGAAACCACTTCTTTTTCCATCTGAAATTTGTTAATTTTAAGCAAGCTTCAACTTAGTTTGCAAAAATTAAGATTTTTTTTTATATTCCAACAAAAAGCATCACCTAGATCATGTTGAACTCTTGAAAATATTCTAATATAGTGAGGCCTCAATAAAATAATAGAACTTAATTGTAATGATTTGAAAAACTGCACCTCTCTGCGATACAATTCCCAGGAGCACGGGAAGTATCTTTTTGAGCTCCCAAACTGAAGAATAAAAAGAGAACTATCCAATAAAATAGATCAAATAAAAGAACAGAAGACTCATCTGACACACTAGAGAGAAAAGCACTCATAACGTCAGGGAATGTTAGTAGTTGACCATGGCGACTGCTTTCACACAGACGGGTTCAAAACATTACCAGCACCCCAGAAACCTTCCTGGATCCTCCTGAGGACATGGAGTTATCCCTTTATGCCTTCTCTAGACAGTTGATTATTTTTCTTTTCACATTTGGTAGGGGACCATTTGGGTCTACCACCCATTGGGAACTGGTTTTGTGTATGGTGTGAGGCAGGGGTCAAAATTAAGAAGTAAAAAATCTCTCGATTCTTGCAAATGTTTAAGGAAGAAACAACAAACTCTTCCAGAAAAATATTAGATAAGGAAACTCCCTAACTCATTTTCAGGCCAGCATTACTCTGATGCCAAAAATCAGATAATTACGAGAAAAGAAAACAAATTGACTGAGATCCTTCATGAACACAGATGTAAAAATTCTAAGTTACATTAAGTTCAGTAACTTATGAAAATATATAATGAACAAATAACGAACAAGGAGAGTTTATTCCAGGAATGCAAGGTGCGTTTAACCTTTGAAAGCCAATCAGTGTAATCCACCATATAAACACAATAAAGGAGACAAGCCATATGGTGATCTCAGTGGAGGGACAGTGTTCAATAAAATTCGGCATACATTCATTCTTAGAGAAAACTCTGAGAAGTGTAGGAATGAGAGAACACTTCTTTATTCTGATAGAGAGCAGCTAAAACCTATAGCTAACATCATTCCTAATGGTAAAATATAGGAAGTTTTTCTCTGTTCGATCAGTGGAGAGGCTACTGCCCCCTTTTATCAAGCATTGCTTTACGGTTCCTGATTAATACATAAGACACACACAAACATAAGGATGGGACAGGAGAAAACAAAACTGTGATTATTCATTATTCACAGAAGGATGGCTGTGCTTACTGACTGGAAGACTCAGTATGGTGAAGAAGTTATTTGCCCCAAATCAACCTAGAGAGCCTCTTCCCTCCCCACACTGTGTGGTGGACTATGCCTATGTTAATATTTATTAAGCAAGGAACTTAAATATGGCCAACTATAACAAGTTGAAAAAATGTGTGCCTAAATACATGAGAATTGATATTCAGTTTAAAGAAAAAAGATCGTGATTACATACATATATAAAAATAAGCATCGTGGACAATGTGTGTATATATATATATATATATATATATATATATATATATACACATACACATATACACCCCATACACATATGCTATGCATATGTACACACATATGGTAAATGCACATGAATATACATACCCATATGGAGGGGCAGCCTCAGAAGCAGGGGTTTCTGTGTGTGCTTTTGCCTATATATTTTTCTTTTTTCACGTACATTGCTGGGGATAGACCCAGGGCCTCTCATATGCTAGGCAAGTGCCTGTCACTGAGCTGCAGCCCTAGTCCTCATCTATATTTTTGATCTTTGAATCATGCAAATTCCCTACTCAAGAAAACATCATTTTTACAAAAATTTCTTCCATTGCAAATAGAATGAAACAATGATCCCTATCAAACCTGTATTGGTGTTTTTACCTATCTGAAGAGAGGGTTTGTCTCAAAGGACTTTAGAAATCAGTATTTTTACGGGACATTCTATGTGGGATTCCTTCTAAAGATCAAGTAAGATGCAAAGTCATTTTAGTAATGTAGGAATTTTAAACGATTTATGACACATTGTGATTTTCAATTATACCAGAAAGAAAAATAAATACAAATTATCCTAATGGTATTTGGAATCAAGAATTTTCTAGGTAAGAAAATTGAGACACATTATAAAATCCCCCCAAATAAGTGAGAACGCCATACTGTTGTTTTATTTAAATAAGATAATTCACGTGTGTATACAAGTGCATATTAAACTTCAAAAAAATACACAGACTAAGTAAGTGGAGTTAAGAGTGGTAGTGTTTGGGCATGAATATGCTGTTCTCACGCATTTGCTTATTTGCATTCCCCAATTTTCTATAAGGTACATGTACTAAAACTGAAATAGTTCCTACACCCATGGTTAGTACACATAATGGATGCTCTCATTATAAGAATACCGGAAATAAACAAACTTTATAATGTATAAAGAACTCAGCCATGCTAGGTTAAATTTTAAGTTCGGGACTAAACGAATATCATAGATGTATTCATAGAAGTTTCTAGAACGTTTGCTCATGGGGGGAGGATGATAGCATAACAGAGCACCGCTACTTACTTTTTCATTTGGTAGTAGCCCTTTTTCACAGTCCCGAAGTTACCAGAGCCCAGTTCCTTGTCCTCTAGAGTGAGCAGGTTTCTGTCCAGGTAGACCTCCTTGGGCCTGATCTCCTCGGGGTCAGCATAGGGGCTCTCGTACACCTCTGTGTCCATGGGCATGGCTTCTATCTGGGGACCTGCAACACAGTCCGGAAACACAACCCTGAGGTGGGGTTCCTGGTGAGGGTCACCCCTTTGGTTACCGTGGGAATGTAGGGTGTGACAGAGAACTGAAGGCAGGGCCGGGAGGCAGCAGGAAAGGGTCCTCAACCCTTTCCTGATGAAACAGTGGGCTGTGGTGGCTTTAAATGAGGTCTGATAGTGATGGGACATCCTTCCTGCTGAGAGGTGCAGCCTAGGTCACCCCTGCTTGGTGGCCTTTACAACTGCGTCAACCAGTAGAGCGCATGAGAAGTGATGCGTGTGACTTCCAAGGACATACGACTTCTGCCTCATCTGTTGGAAACTGCATTCCTGAAGTCTTGAGGTGACATGGAAGGTGTTCTGAGGCCACCGTGTTGTGAGAAAGTCCACAGTAGCCCACTCCCAGGGACCAAACAAAGAGGACCTGTGAGTCAGGGGAGACAGAGACAGGCTGCCCTGGCCTTGTCCTGGACCCCCTGCAGGGTCCAGCCTGAGTCTACCCCATCCCGACCTACAGAAGTTAATTAAATGAGATCTAACTGGTTCTCATTATTTTAAAGCACTGCCTTAAGGTGTTTTTATAGCATCAAACAGACTCCAAGTTCATTAACAAAAAGAGAAACTTGGAGATGGATACCTAGAGGACCCAAGGAAACCATCCAAAGGCCCCACTTCTGAGACCATGTCACGATGGGTGTATCTCCAGGAACTGTGCCTCTTCACGGCCTCACAGAGTTAGTTTCCCTCCACACACCTGGAATACGAGCAACTCACACATCTCCTCCATTCCCCACACCTCTGACGGGGCCTTCTTCAAAACTAACAGTGGACACACAGGGCTTTCCCAGAACATGGCCCTCTCAGAACTGCAAGTAGAGTAGATGCAGAATTTCAAGGGGAGACATTCTGAAGAAGACTCGTGGATGTTGTCCGCACCCCCAGTTAATGGAGAGGGTCTTGATTGTAGCAGACTATTTCATTCAACAGGACCGTCCTGCTCACGGACACATGACATCGCTGCTACCACTGGACGATCGTCTCACAACTAGAGACCATGCGCTGAACTTTGGAGCCGATTCTACACACTTACAAGTGCCCATACACTTTGCTGTGTGAATGTCCAGAGAGTAAAAGTGTGTTTCTCACCTCTCTCCGCAGCCCAGCGTCCTCGTTCTGGCTCATAAGGGTTGAAGGACGCGGTGCTCTCTGGCCGGGTCCTGTGCGACGGGGAGGCCTGAAGCACACAGATGACCCCATGTCATTTTTTTTACTGACACACACACTCAGGTAGGTCTGAGTATTTTTCATTTTCCAATAATCACAGTTGAACTTATGCAGGGAAGACAAAGGAAAGAATTCAGAAGAACGAAAAGGAAAATAAAAAGGTTTATCTCATTCTTCCAGCGACTGTTTGGATCGTGGAAGGACTAAATGCAGCTCATGCTGAGGTCCAGCTGGGGTCTCAGAGGGTGTGGGGAGAAAATGCCCTCTGTTCAGCTAGAATTCCCTCCCCACTTCTGTGGCTTTTCACACCAGTTTCCCACCTACCAAAAGATGCTGAGGATTTTCATGTTCCCCTTGGATTCATTTTCCTGCTCTAACTCTGTCTCTCTGATCCTATTTTACATGGAAGTTATTTAAAAAGGAAAATTCAATACCCACCAGCTGCTACCATCTACTTCCTAAGTCCAAAGCGTGCATGTACATGTACATTTTATTGCCACCTGCTTCTGTGGCTGCAGGGGACGTCTAGCACCATCTGAGCCGATGCTGGCAGATAGCCCTAGCCAGGAAGCTACAGGTCCCAAAGTCTGGCTGCCACCAACCCGGGCCATCGCAAAGCTATGGATCCTGTGAGATGAGGAATGTTTTTTGATTGCCTGAGGGAAGGTAACAGAAGCCCATCTGAAGCAAAGCTTTGTGGGCCATTACAAACTTGAATAACATGCATTTGATTAACATCAGTTTGCATCATGAAATAAATGCGTGGAAAAATCTACTCCTTATATTCCTAAGGACTCTCTTTCTTGAACACATTTATCCTGAATTTCCTGACCCATCTTCACCTTTAAGATAAATCAAGGTGATTTGGCTGGGGATGTGGCTCAAGCGGTAGCACGCTTGCCTGGCATGCGTGGGGTGCTGGGTTCGATCCTCAGCACCACATACAAATAAAATAAAGATGTTGTGTCCACCGGAAACTAAAAAATTAATATTAAAAAGTTCTCTCTCTCTCTCTCTCAAAAAAAAAAAAAAATCAAGGTGATTGCTACTAAATTTAGTTCACAGAAAATCCACAATCCAAATCCCTCCCTACTCCCCATTGGTATGAACTGAGTAGCAACTTTATTTATCCCAAACACTGGCCAGGAAGAAATGAGATAACACCAGATTTGGGAGAAATTTAAAGAAACAGAGAGACACTTAAGCTTAACATTACACCGTCACTTATCTTACAGGACATACTAAATCCTCATCTGCCTTATTGGTTACAGGCTCAGAAACCAACGTGTAACAATGCATCTCCGTGCATCCTGATGTCCTCCTCTCCTGCGGAGGGCATGGCCTCCCGCAGTGGAGAGGCTAAAGGCCGTGAGGTCTTATCTGTCAGAGGGATATCATCAGATCTATGTTCCCATGCATCATCTCAGCCTTCTTATTGAACTGTTTAAACGAACTATCACAGGTCGAAAATGACAAAAGTTCCCGGAGGTATACTATGAATTGCCTGCACGAGTCTCTGCCATATGCATGATGGGTGCTCAGTAAAAATGTGTTAAACAAGCACGTGAATGGATGGATGGGTGGGCGGGTGGATGAAAGAAAATTACTCCTTGTAAGTGGGAGGTGCCAAGTGCAACCTAATATTGATGTTAAAACGAGTTTTCTCTCCAGACTTTAATAGAGGGGAGTAGGTACAGATAATTCCAAATGACAATCTGCCTCTTTTAAACATTGTATATGATTTCACTTCCAATTTGTAATACAGTTACCCTGTTTTCCATCCTTCCTGCTGAGTTCCCTCCCTCAAACAAACTCTAGGCCGGAATACTTTTTTAAAAGTTGTTTTTCAGTTTAACATTTACTATAATTTTGAATACTTTGATCTTCCCTATAGGAAAATTCTAGATCCCAAGGCAAAACTTGAACAGACACAGAGTTAAAGGATGCCCCAGGATAGGCCACCAGGGAGGAAGGGACCATGAATCCTTGCCTTAAGAACCACTCTCTTCTGCTCTCTTAGGACATTATCCTGAGGCTTCACCCCAATAGAATGTTCTCCAGAGCAAGAGGTCCTCAAAAAGACCTGTCACAACTAAATCACAGTGCAAATACCTAACATAGAAATCCTGGGGAAACAATTTTAAAGCACAGGTGAAGTTATTTTTTTAAAAAATACTGCAAAGAATACAGTGTATAAGGACTAAGTAGGAATTAGTAGTATTGGACCCAGGGAATCTAAAGTCCTGGGTGTGAGTAACTCAGACTCAGACTGGCCGTGTTACCCACTCCTTGTCTTTGGGGGCTTATTATGGACAAGGAAATAGACTGGGGCTCTCCTTTGGGAATTTGGGCTCCATATTTTCAGCAAAGGTGACTCAGGGCTTCAATCTATGCTGCCCAACACAGACCACCCTGTGATAAGGAGGCCTCAGGGTTCAGCCACAGAGAGACCCGGAGTCCCTCGATCAACCACGTCAGCTCTCTCCTATCTGGATGCCTTCATCCTCAGCACCCCGGGCTTTCTGGAGCCTGATTGGATTGGAACAAAAGATGGCACCGCACTTGGCAGAACGTTCTGTGGCAGAAATGGGGGGTTTTCCACTGAGTCAGGTAAGAAAGCAATGGCCATTTTATGATGAAGATGATACAAATCCAAGTTTCACCTTTCCCTAAGGGGTCAATAGACCATCTGGTAGAAACCTCGGAAGTAAAAACTCAGCAGACGAGAACAATTTGAGGCCTCTGTACGGAATAAACACAAAGGCATGATGACAAATTATGAAGGTATTTACTATTGTGTAACATTTAATGAAATGATAATTTTAGTGAAAAAAACATATGGCTGGGGAGCATTACTATTCCTCGCCACCTTCCTTCTGCTTTTTATTTGTGGAATCTACTCTGCCCTGATCCATACTATCATCTTTTCTGCATAGAGAACAACAAGGCCTAAAGGACATGCAGACAGTTCCTTTTACCCAGTTTTGCCAACACTCAAAACAGAGAACCCAGCTGCTGGGCACCACTAGGCGGCACCAGCTACCTGAGCTTCTGACTTTCCAAAGAGGAACTGGAAACTTAAATCTCCTCAATTCAGGTGATGATAGCCTATTCCATAGAAATAATTTAAAAGTCACGTTTGATTATAAGTTATGGTCCCTGATATTATATTGTTCAGGTTTAACTGCAAATAGAAAATATTTTTGACAATTTTTTTTTTTATTTAAATTAAAGTGCTTGGAATTTGGAAGTGAACAAGAGTAGGGAAAAAAAGAATGCTCTTATGGCACAGATAGATAGGCTAATTCCGAGTTTCCTGGTTTCCCAGTACCACAAGTGTCCTGCGGTTTATTATCTAGATCCTGACTTTTACTGTCAGGTTCTTGAAAGGTGTTTTCAAGTGAGGCAGCTGTAGTCATATAGGTGACAACATAATTGTGATTGCAGCCAGTCAGCTTCAGAGCTACTGGCTGCAGTAAACCATGCGTGGCTACCAGCAGTCTCCAGTGGAATGACCACAGTTGTGGGTCAGTATTAGGGTTGTTTTAGATGCACAAAAGCACACGTGATCTGCACAAGGAATCTTCTCTTACGTGACAGCAAAGGTGTAAAATCTGTCCCTCTAAAACCACATGGACACCCTTTCTCGGTGATGTAGCCTGCTGGCTTGGCACTGCCAAGTCAAAAGATGTGCCTGGAGAATTTCTGTCTTCCTGTTCTCTCTGTGGGGCCCTAGGAAATGAGTATTTAGAGAAATGCTTTTAAATATCTCAATTACCCATGTATGTGTTGAGTAAAACAGGAAAAAAAGTGGGTTTTAATGAGAAATTTGGGGACACACCTCAGTCTAACCATCTTAGGAAATGTGTCTTTGAAATGCGAAGCTGAAAAGCCACCTTCTGGTCTTTAAGGCTGATGGTCAAATTCTACTCATTTTTCTTAATAGGATACATTTTTATCAATGTTTTTATTAGTGCATTATAATTATGCATAATATTGGGGTGAGAGGATGGATACAGTTTTGTGCTTACGTTAAAAAAGACAAACAGAATTCCAGGACTAATGACAAGAGGGATTTGATTCTATGTAAGGACTACCAGGACTTATATTCTTTAGTTAAATTCGGTTATATAAATATAAACACATGGGCTGGGGTTGTGGCTCAGAGGTAAAGCGCTCGCCTAGCATGCATGAGGTACTGGGTTTGATCCTCAGCACCACATAAAGTAAAATAAAGACATTGTGTCCACCTATAACTAAAAAATAAATTAAAAATCAATAAATACCAACGTGATACTAATTTTTAAAGAAAAGTTTAAAATGCATCTGACTCTTGTGTTTATTATGAAAATTTCAAATTCTCTAATCATTTGAAAATCAAAGCATACTTTTATAGATGCTAGAGTTACTTTAAGTTCCAACACATATTTTTTATCTGAATTGTTAAAAACAATTGTTAACGTTAAGCAAATTAACAAGTTAAAAGTTGTTTACTCCTGAGTATAACAGATGGGCTACTTGACATGATTGTCACAATTCTTTAATCATGAACGGTTAAACAATGGGAAGTTCCTCATCCATTTTTGAAAACATAAGTATGAATTCTTCTAGATCATTCCTGATGAATCATTAAAATATTTAATCCCTATTTTAAATAATATAATCCTGCTCCCTTACCAATTATCTACTGATATTTTTGGCATCTATGAAAACTTGAAGCATTACCAGCATTTTCGGAATTCTTCCAGAATATTTCACACTATGTCAATACTATCCATCTGTCTGTCTATCCACCTATCTATCTACGACTTTGCTTTTTAACAGTTAACACTGTATTTTGGAAACAATTCTAGATTTCAGCTTCTCTCACAGTAGCAATGTTATTTCCCATTGAAAGACATTTAAATTATTACAGGAATTTGACAATTTTCAGCATTAGAATGAGCACTTTCATATATATACATCTGTGATGCGATTGTTTTATGTACTTCTAATTTCCATAGATGTCACAAAATTGCCTTTCTTGTAGATGGTATCATTTCATTTTTCTCTAATAAAGTGTAGTGTAATTCACCACACCCTTGAGCACAGCATAATAAGCTTTTAGATTTGGACCAGTCTCAGTTTCACACAGGCAACGGTTTTGGACAGGATCATGAGGTTCCATCCTACTCGTGATCCTCCCTTACTGACAACCTACCTCCTGGACACTGGACTTGCTTAGCCTGCTCCCATAACCGTATAACCATAGTTTTAACTGTATGCCATAGTTTTAACTTGCATTTCTTTTATTATAAACTTGAGCAACAGTTAATACATTAAAAACTATATATGTTTACTTTACTCTCAATTACTGACTGAAATTCCCTGCCCATTTTTATCCTCTTATATAGTTGAATATTTCCCTTATTGATTTATAGAATCTCTTTATATATTAAGGAAATAAATATTCTATACATGTTATTGTTACTATTTCTAATACTTATTCCTAGTTTTTAAATTTCTCTTTTGGCAAAGTTATAGCTCTTATCGTGTATATATTGCTTTATTTTTATGTAGTCACATTTACAGATTCTTAAACTTTCTTTAGACATTCTCTGTAATCTAAAAAGGTATACTAAATCTTATTTTCTAGGTATTTCCTTAGCTATTGTGAGGGACCTTAGCTGGCTGAAGCCTACTTAGAAAATGACAGAGGTTTGTCTTCTCACAAGACGGTTTTATTGGTTTTTCATGGTGATGGGTTTTTGAAATGACAACTTGGTTTCCCTGAGCTATAGTCATTGACTCAAACAATCGTCTCAGCACTGTAGTGAAAGGGTTCTTCAGACTTAATCACCACACCTCATCAGTTAATTTATGTTAAGAAGACTATCCTGGGTGAGCCTGACACATCAGTTGAGGGTCCCTAGGAAGAGAATTTAGGTTTCCCAAGAAAGAGAAAGGGTAGCATAGAGAGACTGACTGATTCTGCCAGGAGAAAACAGCTTTGGACATGCCTCTGAGGTTCCAACCTGCTTCTGACCTTCCTTTCCTAATAACCTGCCCCATGGACATTGGACTTGCTAAGCCTGCCCCCATGATTTTGTAAGGTAAGCCCATGTAATACATCTGTGTGTACACTGATATATGTATCAATGTGTATGGATATGCATATTACTACACATTACTATACGTGTGGAGCCGTGTACGCAATACACACATGTGTTATATATGACGCATATACATGTGCATTCATGTATAGAGCTATGTAGTTAGTGTGTGTACATACCATATATGCATACAGATAGGTATATGTGTGCACATATATGCGTGTGTGGATATGTGTGTACATGTATGTCACATGTGTGCTCTTTGTGTGTGTACATATATCTCCTATTGGTCATGCTTCCCTGGTTGAGCCATCTGCTTGTAAGCCACAGAATCAAGGTAAACACGGGCTGCTGTGGTCAAGGTTCATGGTGAAAGTGTTCCTTTCCGGGACTGTGCACAGCTGGGGGCTGTGAGGTAGCACCTAGGCCTTAGGCCAGGATAAGTGGAATGATGCACGAAAGGGGGCGGGGCTTGGGGGGTGGACCACGCCCCTTCCCCTGGCCATCCGGCAGACCTTGTGTCGGGGAGGTGGCCAAGGACGTGAGGGGACCTGGGCCTGGAGCTGGGGGAAGGCAGCCTGTCCCGGGCAGGGCCTGCCCTGGGCTCTATGAAGCCCTGGACACGTGATGTCCCACTGATGACTACTGCACTTTGTGAGCGTGGCTGCCAACAGGATGGCGGTCACTGACTTCAACTGGATGCAACATCATAACTTTGAAAAGGAGACTCAAGCCTGAAGAGCACCCTGCCTCAGGCAGGTCTTGAAGCTCCTATGCTTAGGAGGCACCTCGTTGCCTGTTTCCCACTGGACACGACTCCTGCTGGACCGTAGCCATCTTGGCCACCCAGCAGGGCCTCTCCACACCAGGGGAGGGCTGCCCACGGTGGGCGGACAGGGGCAGAGCTGTGCAGGGTTCTGCCCGCCAACACCAAGGCAGGCCTAGTATTCCCCCCAGGGGTGTGAGGGGCCGTTCCCCTCAAATACTTCTCTGTTCTGTGGTCAGCAAGATCAAGGGCATCTGAGTATGGCTGTCAACTTGGAAAATTACTATTGAATAGGATTTCAGTGTGCTTATGCTTTTTATTTGTGTCAATTTTAATAAGTAGCTTAATCAATCTACTCCATGAGTTTAATATCCAATTATATGCCGAAATGTTTGGGATAGTGCTGATGAGTATAAAAATGGCAAGAATGAACTTTACCCCCACTGAAGACAAAAGTCGATAGGAAGAAAGAGCAGTCCATGCCACACACACACACACACACACACACACACACATATGGCCCTGTGAATTGTGCATATGTGTTAATCCAGAGTTCAAGTTCAATTGTGCATATGTGTTAATCCAGAGTTCATGCACATATGTATGATTCGTTATAAATAAAATCATTAAAAATGACTTCCCTCCTCAAAAATCCAGTCACACAGCCAAACACACAAATCAATTCGATGTCAACTGCCCCAAAAAGAAAAATAGTTTTTCTAGCCCTCCTACTCCATCTCTTTTCTGTTATATTTAAAGTTCTGTATTGGAACTGTGACAACATAGAAAGAACTGAGTGAATACTAGATAATGAGTTAATATGCATCACAATTCTAATTCATCAACTAAGGTTCAAGTCTAATGAATTAGGATAATGGACTCTAATTCTGCACTGGAACCTCATAGCAGCCATGAAGTGGATGGGGGCACCCTCTGCATACAACCTGCGGTCTTTATATGCAGTGCACCTACCAAACCTGTTCCCAACACAATGGAACTGACAGTCCATCACATAACACCTATCTTCTGATAGGAATATTGGCTACCACTGATCACTCTCACTGCAATGACTTTGAAGATGCACTCGAGCAGCGTCAGCAGGCGGACATGGATGGACTTTATAATGAAGCAACTGAGGACCCACACGGAAAGCACAGTGCACATGGGGTGTGGGCGAGCTGCGGGTGCAAACGAGGGCTGCACACGGCAAAGCACCGAAGCACAGCGACACGGGCAGTGGACAGGGAGGGCGGGCTGAGCGCCGGCTGAGCCAGGCCAGTCCTACCGCGGCTCAGGGTCAGCAAGCAGGGGGCAGGGGGGTCACGGTTTAGCACCTTTCTGCCGTCCCGCTTTGGTAAGTAGTATGATTTGATTCTTGAGATTATTCCACCCGCTGACCAACTCTAGAAACCGTAATGGCAAAGAGGAACAGGAAATTTAGTGTCAGAAAACAAATTCAGGACCCATACATGACATCCTACCTGAACCTGCTGCTGTAACGGAGCCGGCTGAGTCCCTCCCTACCCTGCGGGTGAGATTGACTCTTGGCCATTTGAAATGCTTCCCGTAGAGGTCACTGCCCGGGCAGAAGGAGCTAGAAAAATATTAGGGAAATCTTTTCCACCTCTGAGCAGCCTCCTTGGTTTCAACAAGGACTCAGGTCCCAAGTGGCAATCGGCCCTGGCAGAACATACATATAGACGTGGCTTTCTATGGATCTGGCTTTTGGAGGTGAGGGGTGGGGTATCAGGTACAAAGTGAGGTACGGAAGGCCCACTTGCCTGGTGGCATTAGAGGGCATGCAAAGTCCACACTGATGTCCCCCAAAGGAATGAGAAAATCAGTTCCTGCCTTGAATCTAAGTCAGCTCCTAGCAGGCTAGAAGGAGAAGAAAGGCAGGGTTTCCCTTCAGAGGCATCAGGCACATACTGGGCAAACTCTAATGGAGAGGAACAGTAGCCTCCTCCTCACCTCCTAGGGACAGGAGCCAGGACACCAGCTCTGGCCAAGGCTCACAGTCCCCTCCTTCTCCAGGAACTTCTTTTGAAATCTCACCAATCATCCACCTCCCAGTTCTCCTTCCTCTAAGCTTTTGTTGAACCACTTTACTCGGAAAGATCTCATTCCCTGATAACAATTTATCAGTTGGGAGCCATCTTATCTACCTGCCAAGTCACCCTGCTCAACATGTGGCCCTGTGGATTGTGCATATGTGTTAATCCAGCGTTCAAGGCTGAACTTGAATGAAATGTTCCCATTTCTCAAATCTGACAGAGGGCCTATTTCTGATTTGACATGGGGGTTTCTTCCTTATTTTAGAAAATAGGGAGCATTTAGCTGGGTGTGTGCTATATGCCCAGAATCCCAGCACCTCGGGAGGCTGAGGCAGGAGGATCACAAGTTCAAAACCAGCCTCAGGAATTTAGTGAGGCCCTAAGCAACTTAGCAAGACCCCGTTCCAAAATACAAAATAATTTTGAAAAGGGTTAGGATTATGGTTCAGTGGCTAAGTGTCCTGGGTTCCATCCCTGGTACCAAAATAAATAAATAATAAATACATAGGGAGAATTTAACGCAACCAAGAACTTAGGAAAACTTGTCTAGCCTAGCACTGATAATAGGTTGGTTGCACCCAAAACTCACTAGAAATCCCAGTTCATCAAGGGGTACGTTGTGAAGTACAATCAAAACAATGAACACTACTCTTATTAGCTAAACTCTGCTTTGCGTTTGTGCTAATAAACATTTGCTTCGCTGCCAGAGGTATGTCTAGTGACACTTACCACAGGATGAGCAATTGGTCCTTGTTGATGAGCTGCAAAAGTAACATCTCCTGGTTAGAAAGAGTATGGAAGGTTTCCTCTGTGTACATACCCCCCAACCCCTGCCGTTATCCCCTCCTCCACCCCACACCAATCAATGTGTCTGTACCACACTGATTCTTGAGAAGACTACAGACCTCTGCACCCATTTCTTTTTATCCTCTTTCACTAGCTTTTACACTTATGCAACTAAAATGAATGAATTTTTTTTTTTTAAGTTAAAGGGACTGGCTGTCTTTTAAATCCATGGTTTTTAAAATTGGAGCACTCTGACGGCACATCTAATCACTCAGTAAGAACCAGGCCTCATCCAATAGGAGCCTAGAATGAACCAAATCTGAAACATGGTTGATTATGACCAATATCTGAAAGTCAGATATCCCTGGGTCCGGGGAACTCACCCATCTGTGCGCCAATTTTTTGACATGGAACTGTAAGAACTCTTAACAAACCATCTGGCTTGTAAGAATAATGTTCCACCAGCTGAAAGAGAATAAAGGGAGAAAGTGTGGTAAATACCAGGGCAAGAAATGGAAAAACAGGGACAGAGAAACACTGACCACCTGTCAGACTTAAAAGAACTCAGAAGACACTTAAATCTCTACAGGTGTCTAGGGAGGTGGGCACCCAACCAGGGATGTCCTCAAACCTTCTGTGTAAATGGCCAGATAGTGATATTTTAGGCTTTGGGGGACCCCTTACCACCAGTATCACCAAGTTCTTTATTTCTAAAACAATCCTTTAAAAACATTAAAAAAAAAAAATTCTGACTTCAGGGCCTGCACAGAAACAGGCCGTGGAACAGATTTGGTCTAGAGGTTTGCAGACCCCTGAGCTAAAGTAAATAATGTGAAAATAGAACAGGGTCATAATTACTGACTCTCAGACAAATAATCCTGGGGTCTTGGGGTTGGAGTAGGGCACACAGGTACTTTCCAATGCTATCAAGGAAAAACCAAAGTAATCATGGGTCATAAAAAATGGAAGATATACCTGGCTAGAAAATATACACTGAGAAGTACTCAGTGCGGGCAGAACGTTCAGATATACCCAATGAAAACAGCAAAGTGTCTTAGAAAGGAACATTCCAACAATTATCAATGTTGAGCTGCATCTCACAGCTCCTAGAACTCTAGAGTGAGACACAACCTTTGAAACTGTGAGTGAAAAACCACACAAGTAAAACTGTCATTGAGAAGTTGAATAAATGGCTATATATAAGTGACAGGCCTGGGATCTAAGTATTAGACTAGCAGAAAAGACTCCTGATGCCTTTATTTATTTATATTTAGTTGTGTTTTTCTTTTTGCAATCCTGGAGATGGTACTGGGCCTCATGCATGCTAGGGAAGTGCTTTAGCCCGGACCTATAGCCCCAGCCCCTCCAGGTGCCTTTAAATGATTCTTGCAGGAGGCAAAAGACCATGATGGGAAATGAATGTATCAGAAGGCAACATTCTGTATTAACCTCCCTAATGTGCTTGGAGCTCCGGGTACAGGTAAGATTAATACTCTTTCAAATCAATACCATTAAAATAAAGCAAAGCCTGTGGTCAGCAGTGAGACACATGCTGATGAGCCCATTATCAAAAGCCAATGTCCATGTTATGAGTGACATGTGTGACTAATTATAATAACTACTGCTCAAAAAAGGAGTATCTTTTTTTCTGATTATAGCATTAAGAATGAAATCACATCCGGGGAAGTAACTCTAAAGGAAATGAGGATCTGTGGTCTCAGTTTTTAAAAACGGCAGGGTTTTGGGTTGAGTGCTTTCCTGGATACTGATTGACTACGTGTGGGTTCCTGGCTGGGCCTGGGTGGGGACTTTTGAACTCGCCACAAGTATGTCCCTCACCCACAAAAGTTCAAGGTGGTTTTTCTGTGGGCAGAGACGGCTGGCTGTCTCTGTCTGTCACTACGGATGGCAGATGCCCTGTGAACATGGTGCACAAAGGACCATCACTGTCAGGTCCTCCCTGTCAGCGAAAGTAGGTGTGATCTAAACTGGAGAGCAACCTGTGGCTCCCTGCAGATGTGTGAAAGGCAGTGCCGAACACTTTCAGGTGTTCCTGAATGCGCAGGTAACTCCCCATCGTGAGTAGAACAGGGCCAAGAAGAAACCATTTCTAAACCAGGGCTGCAACAATCCTAGACAAGTGGCATCCTGGAGCCCAGGAATGCAGACTTAACTTCACCGGGTGTCTTAGCTGCTCAAGAGAGAGAGAGACTCTATCTGCAGTGCCGATGGCACCTGAATTCAATATCTACTCCTGCATCTCACAGCTCCTAGAACAATCTGAGTCCCGGCCCCTTTGCCTGGCTCCCTGCCCATCTGCATCTTTATTTTGTGTCTATTTGTCTGAAAGACTATTCTGGGTTCTAGTTAGAATATCTTGGAAGGAAGCATTTTCCAATTCCCCAAAGTCAGGCTTCCTGTTCAACTCAGAGCCCAGGCCTGAATGCACATCTGCTATGGGCACTGAGAGCTAAATGACCCTGAGCAAGGGACAGAACCTTCTGGACCTTTGTTTACCTGGCACAATGGTCCTTACGCCCTTGCTTCTCAAACGTGCAAGTCCCCTGGAGATCAGGAAGCAGGCTCTGATAGGTAGGCAGGGACCCCTGTGTGCATTCCTAACATGCTCCAGGGCCTCTGCTGGTCTGGGGGCCACACTGTGGGTGGACAGCAGCCTGTCCCCTCTTATTCCTTAGAGCCCCAAGGGCCCTGTGCTCCAGCCATGAGGAGGGAGAGGACGATGTGTACCTGCCAGAGTGTGTCGAACTTCTTTCCATCGGGGATGGAGAGCTTCCCTGTCTTGTCCTTGTCGATGCGATAGTGAAGCACCTTCCCTTCGTGCAGCAGGCACAGGGCGTAGGAGCCATTATTGTCTCGGGCCCTGATCCTGGAAGAGAAGACCCTGGGTCATCCCCACTCCAGCCAGACCTGAGACAGGAGCCCAGGAAGCAGAGCTCGGGCCAGAGACCTGGCCAGCAGATGCTCTCGGGGAACTTTCAGCTGGTGACACAGCCTGTGGGCTGTCCCAAACCTCGAGGGCCCAGGAAGCTTCAACTTCTAGCTCAAGAATGCTCTGCAAGATGAGGCTGGTGGGTTCAGGGTCAGGGCTCAGGTCTAGCAGGGCCCCAGCAGCCCTGGAGGGTAAGCCTAAGGCTCAGAGGATAGCAAACATGGCTCAGGGTGACTAGCACATGGGACCTTGCAGGGTTCTGAGGGTCTGTGGAGCGGGGCTCATCTCCTTCTGGACCAGGGTCTTGGTGTGGATCAACCATAGATGGCAAGACCCACAGCCTTGCCAGGGGTGCAGGTGGGAGAGGTCTGGTGGGGAGGGGTGCAGAGTGGGCACTCTAATCAGGAATTTTCTGGGGCACAAATATAGGGATGTGAAGCTTCCGATCCTCGGGGCCTTCTTTACTCCTTCCCCTCTCCCTGATGCAGGGGCAGGGCTGGGATTCAAAATGGTCAAATAGCTGAGTCAGGTGAAGTCCTTCAGTGAAGAACGTGCCATCCACTGGGGAGTGAGCGGCCGGCAGCACCAGGGCTGCTATCTGTGGTGCTGATGGTCCCTGAGAATCCATTGTCATTGTCATCATGGGTAACCTTCAGTGCCACCTGGGGCCTGAGACTTGGGATCTGATGACAAACAGATGAGGACACCCTCTCGTGCACCATGAGAGTCTTCTGAGCATCTCGGGTACCACCAGACGCAGCCCTACTGTCCCTGTTCAGGCCCTCCAGATCATGAGGTCTGATCAAGCGTGAGTCACAAAGGTCCCAGGAAGCTTCTCCAGCCCCTGCATTTGCTCAAATGAGGAAGCAGAGGTCAGAAAGCCTGAAGCAACATGCCCAAGGGGACATGCTCAGGGAAGAGCTCAACTGTGGCCCAGCTGCCGGGCAGAACGTCTGTGAACGGGGGAATTTCGGCTGCCTCTTCTGGGTCGCCAGAGGTCACGGCCACGGTCACGATGAGAGTGAGATAAGCTCTGGAACGGGACACACTTCCCTTTCTCCCACCACATACTCTCATCTCCAAAATCAAGCCCAGGACTCGAAAGCTGAACCCTGACGTTGGGGGTCGGGACTTTAAAAATGAATTTCTTCTCAAGTGGGGCTTAGCCAGGCACAGTGGCCGGTTGTGTTCCTCTATGCCCCACTGCTCAGGGCAGCAGGCCAGGGGGAAGATACACACCTAGACCCTTCCTGGCTCTGGTTTGTGGTTCTACTGAAACCTCCCCCTCTGTGAAAACAGCCCAGACCAATAGAAACACCAGCATCTCAAGATGTGCATTCCTGTTTCATGGTCCTGGGTCACTTAAAGCCATAGTGGGCTACTGGTAAACGAACCCTCCCCCCACCCCCCCAAAAAAGCACACAGTGAAACATAGTTTTAGATGGAAGGAAAACTGAGTCTTCTCTATAGGGAAGCTAGTTTATAATGTGGGGTGATTTACGCTTGCTCTGTTTATCTTATAAACATTAGTGGCTCACAGAATTGTGTGGATGTAGAAATAATATAAATACCAAATCATTAAGCATTATGCATACACGTAAAAAAGTCGGTCTTGGGAGAAGGATGACCAGAGGTCACATCAAAATTCTTCTTGATTTAGCTGGGCGTGGTGGAGCCCGCCTGCGATCCCAGCGGCTCAGGAGGCTGAGGCAGGGAGATGGCTTGAGCCCAGGAGTTCAAAGGCCAGCCTGTGCAACACAGTGAGACCCAAAATAGACACAGGAGATCACAGACTGCCCAGGGTGAGCACGCAATCAACCTCATAAGAAATCTGGCAGATGTAAATTAAGGCCACCACAGAAATACCACGAGACTGTTCCTCCCGGCAAAACCCCCAAAGACCGATAACTTCTGATATTGTTAAAAATGGGGGGGGGGGCAGCAGGAGCCCTCACATTCTGCTGATGGAGCACGCACTAGGTCAACCACTTTGGAAAACTCTTTGGGCTGTCCCGCAATTCACACCTTCATGGATCAACAATTCAATCTCCAGGTATTAAAAAAAAACTTGTGTATGGTGCACCTGAGAAAGTGTTCTGGATCAGGCTCGGTGGCCCACGCCTGGAATCCTAGTAATTTGGGAGGCTGAGGCAGGAGAATCACAAGTTCAAGTCAGCCTCAGCAATTCTCAAAATAAAAAAGTCAAAAGGGCTGGAGATGTGGCTGCGTGATAAAGCGCCCCTGGGTTCAGTCCCCAGTACTGCAAAAAAAAAAAAAAAGTTGGACCGGAATGTTGATAACAGCTTTGTCTGGGCTCATCGACACCTGTGTGCAATCTGCATTTTCATTAACCATAAAGTGAACAAATCGTATAAGCAATCTATTCATACAATATACTAAAGCAATAAAATGACAAGTGGCAGCTATATGAAGCATCAGTAAGTCTCACAGACAGAAAACTTACTCCAAGAACGTGAAGTCCCCCCAAAGCAAACTGATTTATACAGAAATGGACGCCTGGGCAGTAAAAATAAAAACAAAACCAAAAACAACCAAAATCTCCAGTAAGTGGTCCCTCCCAAGAGGATTGTGTGGAGGGAGAGGGTCGATCTTCTGGAGCTCGGGCTGGATTTCATTTCTTGACCTGGGTGGTGTTGACTTGATACCTACTCACTAAGCTGCCCCTCTGTAGAGTCTGACACTCTCAGGTGTTTTGTGTCTCACTATAAAACCAGCATAAAAAGAGCCCTGGATCAAAGCGGAAACAGAGACCCCTCTTGCTTTTGAACACGGGTTTTCTGCAAGACCCCCACTTTCTCAAGCTCCCCAAGGGAACGGGTCCTGCAGATTCCTACTCTCTACCTGGCAGCCCTTGCCTGTTCCCCGAGACAGGTAGCTGGCAGGTGTGGCAGCTGCTGAGGACACACAGCCTGAGCAGTGCCCTGGGCAGCTGGCAGGAAGTGAGCACCGAGAAGGGAACCCACAAGCCCAGCATCTGGAGCTGGTGGAGACCAGAAGGCTTCGGCGACATTAATGGGCCAGCAACCGGGAGCCGGCTGCTGGCTGCAGGCAGGTCCTGGGCTGGACTACACTGAATTTAAAATATGAGACAAATGGCTTTGGAACCTGCCTCCTGGCTCCTCTTCTGGGCCACCTCCTGTTCCTGAGCAAACCCCCTTGGCAGGTGGTGTGGGCAGCACCAGGATTACTGAAAGAGCCAACACAGTCCTTGTGTTCCTATCAGGTTCAACAGGCCTCGGGCTGTTCACCGAAACCTTGGACTGTTTATTTGGAAATTTTTTCCCAAAGATCCCCTTAGAAGAAGCTAACAGGTCCGTAGTTTGCCTTTAGAAAGCTTGGGGGTTTCAGGGCTTGATCTCAAGGTTATGCTGAGAAGTTGTGCTTACAGAGCCTAGGCCAGTCCTTGTCCTCCTGTGGTATGGCTCCCCTCCTAGGGGGGACAGGCTCAGGCCTGGGCTGGGAGGCCTTGTACCTGTGCCATGCAGAGGCGAGACCGGAGACTACTGTTCCCAGGCTGGGCACAGCCTGGAAGTGCTGACCCTCTTCTTCACCCTCTTGTGCCCTCCTGGGTGAAAGAAATGCATGGTAGTGACGCTGGGCACTGAGGGCCAGCTGAGGACCTGGGAAGTGGGGGGACGCTTGCTCCAGGCAGCCTCTCTGAGGCTGCTAGGATCATGACAGAACTGAGCAGCCAGGCACATCCCCGCCCACAAATGTTCCTGTTCTCCCTTGACATTTTCGTCCCTCTCACGGCAGAGTAGAGCATCACTGGGCAAGACATCATTCCAGAGGGGAAGAAGGGCACCTGGCATTGGCTGTGTAGGCAGGAGGGACATTCACTGTGGCTGAGAGGCAGAGGGTGGGCAGTTCTCACTCAGAGGCATTGACCTGAAAGTGACTTCTCCAGAAAGCAGGGCTCGGGGGAGAGGGAGGAGGGAATGTGGGAGCCATGACATCCTGAAGAGTGTCATGCCACTCAAAAGAGATGACAAGGCTATTGATCCCCCAAAAGGCACAATAAACAAGTATAAATAAAATAAAAAGGCAACTTCTAGGAACTTTGGCTTTGTGCCATCGCAGTGTTGAGGCACAGCATGCACAGGCCATACAACACTGAAAATAAGATCAGTCCAGAATGCAATCCACATCGGGGACCATGCCAAGTTGCTTTTAGCACTTCTGCCTTTTAAAACATTTTATCACAAGCACCTCTCTGTTCGAGTTTATGAGGGTGGAGTAAGTTCATACTTCCTCTCTTTCAGCGTCATTGAAACTTTGATCAGCACCATTGAGCTGATGCCGGCCTCGCCCTCAACTGCCTTTGAACATTAATTTACCTTCAGACAGGCTGTGATGCTCTTCTGCTGACCTATGACTGCAAAGCCACACACATCATATAAAATGGCCCACTTTGATCAATCACGGCCACAGATGAGAGCACTGATTGAACTTAGTTTTTATCATGGCATCGGAGGCTCACAACAGTCAAACAGTCCCATCCATAATGAACAAGGAGAAGGTTTCTGTAAAATGCATAACTCACTTTCAAAAAACAGAACAAAAATTGAGTTGAAATGTGAGAAGGGAAAAAGTGCATATCAAATAAGAGCAAAACAGTGGGTTTGGTCTAAGGGCAAACACTAATACTGGCGTTGTAGTGGGCAGGGGGTGACCTCTTAATCCAGCAACCAGGCAGGCACTGGATGTGAGAGTCCACATGAACAGGGCAAAACCTCTTCAACTCTGGAGGAAAGCAATCCCAATATAGGACACCCAGGACTCCCACGGATGAATAGCAATCGAATTATGAGCTCAGAAATGATCATCCAAAACACAAGGGAACACACGTTATGAGAAAAGGGCCATAGATTAAAAAGAGAGAGGAAGAGACCGAGATTAATCTCCCCACCCTGTTA